GGCTCTTAGAAGTATCGATAAATAAAATTTTTTTATAAAAAAAAGTGCATAAAAATTTAAATCTAATAATATACTCAAACAATATCAAATTATTTATCATCCAAATTAATCTTTGTATATAAATATTTTTTTAAATAAAATTTTATTATTATTAATTATTTATCTTTAATATTAAGAGTCAAAGTTAACAAAATTCTAGTCATAATTACCATAAAATAAAAAGAATGTGTAAATCCATAATTTTTAAAATGAATATTGAAATTATTTCTAGTATTAGATTGGGATTCCCAACAATGTCTCGGGTACCCTGATGAACTTATTGAAATGACATTCTTATTGTTAATATTCAAAAAGATTTTTTATCTTTCTTATTAATAAACTTGACTCTTTTAAAATGGGTGTTTATTTACATTTTATTGATATTTTATTAAAATATTAATTATATATGATAAATACTTAAATTTAAATAAATAGCGTGGAGGCGAATCCTATCATTAGGACACGAAATATGACTGCATGAGTGCATCTGCAGGACCATTGAACGTAGGGCATGAGGGCGACAACCCTCAAATTCTCTCAAAGTTAAAGAGATAACAAAAAATCCCACAGGCTTGGGGAAGGATGATTTTGGAATATTGAAAGTTGAAACTTGGATGCCGCACCAATAATCAATATTCAGATCCCTACTATTATTATTATCATAATTAAATTTTGTGTTTTTAATATCAATCTTTAAATCTAAATTTAAATATTAAAAGACAATAAATATATATGTATTTAATTTTTTTTATATTATTATCATTATTATATCAAGAATATAAAAAATAATAAACATTATTTTTTAAACGAAAGAGATACATGCATCCCACCAAGGCATTTCATTCCACAAACGGACCACAACCCGGCCCAATATCAGCAGGCCGAAACGTTAAATAAATATTTAAAAAAACATATGAACAAAAAACGAAAAAGCGTTAATGAAAAAATAATTGAGTACATTGTCTTATAAAATTTGAGTTTAAGGCATGTTAATTCTAGCTTAAACAACAGTTTTGAGTTTGTGTTCAATAAAGGAAGCTAGATTAAACCTAAATATACATTTGGTTTGTCTATCATTTTCCAAAAACATAATATATAGTGGTTTAGAAAATTTGATATGCATGTCATATACTACTTGATTTTTACAAATATACACATACGTACATATATTTAGTTGGAGTACGAGAGATGGGAAAAACTAATCTCAACTTACAATTATATCTCTTGCTTGATATTTTAAATTTATATATAGATTATTAAGATTAAAATTAATTAAAATAAATTTCATCATCTATGTATAAATGTGTATATAAATAACTTTTTTTCAGCGCTCAGACTCTAATTAAATATGTTTCTTTTATGAAAAACTCATTTTTTTTATCCAATTAATTATATTTTCGTATTAATGCTATCAAATTATAAAAAAAAATAAAATTAAATTAGACTTTAGAATAATAAGTAGGTCATAAAATTTTTTAGGTTTTGTTTGAAAGTATGGAAGAAAAAGAAAAAAAAAAGTTTGAAGGGAGAAGAAAAAGAAAGAAAGAAAAAGAGAAGGAAATTAAACCTCTTTCTTATTTAGATGTTTAATGTTAAAAAAGGAAGGTGATAAGAGGATTTAATTATATAAATAATTTTAAATTAATATTTTAATTTTTTAATTTTTTTTAAAAATAATTACTTAAAAAACTAACTTTTTTTAAAAAATTAAAAAAATATTATTTGTGAAATAATATGAAAAAGATAAAACTTTCAAAATAAAAAAACTCAAAAAATAAATTTTTAAAAAATTTAAAAAAATTCTCAAAACCTTCTTCTTCGTGTAACTAAATAATTCTTAAATAAAATTAAACTTCTTTTAATCCCTTCTCTCCTTCTAAATTTAACTATCAAATATAGCCTTTTGGTAAAAAAGTTGACACAATAAGCATAAGTTTATTTGAAAAAAGAAAAGAAAAGAAAAAGAGGAATCGTTTGCTTTATGTAAAGTGAAGTAGGAAAGTTGCGTTGTAAAGGCATAGCTTAGTAATTGCTGATTGGATGGTAAATTGGTGGATGGATGAATTTGGGTGATAAGATTAACATGATGTCATGTCATGTCGATGTGTGGACGTATCTGTGGCAAGGTACACGAAGGAATCCTAGTCCTTTTATCGTGCACCTGCATATCCTTTATTCTATACTTAATTTTCTTTTAATTCCATTTCGCTAGTTATTAAAAAGGAAATTATTTATATCCAATTATCTCACTTTATTTACTTTTAATTCCATTTGGGTAATTAATAGATTATATCGACTTTTGCTTATAATAATTGGTGGTTATAATAGATAACAATAATAGTGTCAAAGATGACATTTAAAATCATCAACCTGATTAATTGGGACATCATGGTTATTTTAATTTAATTTGTAGTCTTGAGTTTGAGTTTTAAGAAATGTAGTTGTTAGGTTAAATATTTAAAGTGAGAGTTTGTCACTTAATAATGATTAATTAGTGATAACAATGATAATTTTAGTGATAATAATAATAATATTATTAATCATCTTTAAAGGGAGAGAGAAAAATAAAATGATTTTTATAAAAAATTAAAATTACTTTTTTTAATATTTTATCTAATGATAATTAATTTTTAAAGTTACATTTAAAAAAAACATGCAGCATAAAAAAAAAAAATACTTGCATTTGTTGTAGTTTTTATTTATCATATAAAAGATGCTAGCAATTTTTTTTTAATACACTCTTATTTATTGATTGATAATATTCGATGAGAGAATGATAAGATATGTGAGTTCTGATTGTGTTTTAATAATTCTTATTTTTAATTTTTTGAGCTTAAGAAATTTTAATTAATAATTAAAATATATTAAAAAGTATATATTAAAAAATTTGTTACAAATACTCCTTTTATTACAATTTTTTATTCTCAATTTTCATAAGTTTAATGTCATCTAAAGGATTTATATTCTCTTCGTCATTGAATATCAATATATACTTTTGTAAACTAAAAAAACTTACGATATTTATTAACAGAAATAATGAATTTCATAGTCAATTATTGTGATTCCTTTTATGATAAAAATTATATAATAAAATAACATCTTATTATTTAAAATATAAAATAATTTAATTTAACCTTTTATGACCATAAGTATAATTTAAAACTTTATTTGAAACATGAAATTTTTAAGTGTAAATTCTTTTCAATTTGTTATACTTAGATTGATGAAAAAGATAAAATAATTAATAGAATAGAATAAAATTAATTATTACTAAATTTAAACCGTGATGGAATAAAGTGAAATATAAAAAAAAAAAACTAATACTAGAAACAATAAATTTCTCACATATAGCTAGGAGAAAATAGAGTGACAGAAAGAGAGATAAAAAAAAGTTATCAATGTGATTAGAAAAGAAAAATATTAGAATGTAAATGTAAAGTTCAAATATAAAAAATTAAGTTAATTCTATGCAAGTCTTATATTTTTCTTCTCTCAATTTAAGGAATAGAATAAAAAAAAAGGTAAAAGTAACTCAATCTTTACTAATTTATTTTTATTATTATTTTCTTTTCCAATAACTTTTTAATTTTAATTTTATTTTATTATATCTTATTTTATTCTTTGATTTGAGTATGGTTTTTTTATCTTATTTTTTTTTCTAAAATTTTGATTTTAATTTCTTAATTTTCTTGTTTTAGTTCTTGCTTTTTAAAAATTTAACAACTTTAGTTCTTAATAAAAGTATCATATAATAAAAAATGACAAAATTATATCTTTTATGTTTTAGCTTTTTTTTTATCTTTTAATTTTTAAAAATTCTAATTTAACTCTTTAATTTTTAAAAGTATTTTAAATAAGTCATTTTTTTTTGTTAAAAATTTTAATTTTGTTAAAAAATTTATTTTTATTTATCATGTGTACTATTTATCTTCTTTCTCCTTAATTTATTCTACCTTTGTTTCTTTTAGTTATCTCTTTTATTCTTCTTTTTTCTTCTTTATGTTTCTCCTTTTCTTCTTCTTCTTTTTTGACTTTTTTTTCTTTCTTTCTTTTCATTTATAAACTCACATTGTTCAACTATGGTAAGAAGATAAGAGTGTAGTTACAAAGTTTTTGAAAGGAAAATAAAGATTATAATTATTCATCTACTTCCTCCTCACATTTTTAATTTTTTCTACTTTTTCTTCTTTTTGTTATCGCTTTTCTTCTTCTTCCTCATTCTTTGTGTTCCTTCTTTTTCTCTCTTTTTTTTTTGTTTTTTATATTCCTCTTTCTCTTCATTTATGAACTCACATGATTTCAATTATGATTAGAGAAATAAAGGTTTGGTTGTAGATTTTTGAAAAAAAAAAAAAAAAAAAGCCTATAACAACATTAGATAAACGAACGAGAGTGCAACGAAATATACTCCAACTTACAACATGCTTAAATATAAATTATTTTGATGGCTTAGGTAAGAAACAATGGTAGGTGAGTGATATTTTGTGGTGGTAAATAACAGAGAAAAAACAATAAAAAAAGGGAAAAAATAGACAAAAGATTTACAGATGATAAATAATACCCATGACAACATGAAATATAAAATTTGACAAAATTAATGTCAATAAAAAAAGAAGCCTATATAAAATATTTTTAATAATTAAAAGACTAAATTAGAAATTTTAAAAATTAAAAATCAAAATAAATAAATTAAAGGATAAAAGATATAGTTTTGCCATAAAAAAGTTATTTAATTTAAAATTAAATTTAGGTAAACAAAATTAAAATTTTTACAAAAATACAGAAATAAAAAATATATCTCAACATTATTTTACTTTTTCTTAACTTTTCATTTAATTTCAACCACTACTAAATATCTAAATATAATCTTAAAAGATACCTCTTTTATACACATGGTACATCCTTTTTTTTCTCTCCTCTTTCTTTCTTTCTTTACAAATATAGAAATAAATCTTAGAAGAATAAAAGAACAAGAATCTATTGACTACACATCAGAACGTATATAAATATGCACAAGTACTTCTCCCATTCTAATAATTCCAAGTTAAAGCTTATCAATATTAAACTATGCCTAGATCAATGGACCCTCTTGTTCTTGGACGTGTAATAGGGGATGTTTTGGACCCCTTTACGAGTTCAGTGTCTTTGAGAGTTGTTTATAACTACTCAGACGTTATCAACTCTTGTGAGTTTAAACCTTCCCAAATCGTCAACAAACCAAGAGTTGATATTGGTGGAGATGACTTAAGGATCCTTTACAGTCTGGTATGCGTAGTTTCCATACATTCTTCACTTCAGTCTTTCGTTAATCCTACATCTATGTGGCAAGCTCGTTATAGTGTTGTTGAAATAATGGTGTGCTTATTGCATGCAATGCGCAGATAGTGGTGAACCCTGATGCTCCTAGCCCAAGTGACCCATATATGAAGGAATATTTGCATTGGTAAATGCCTTCTTTCAACCCTAATCACACATCAAGTAACGAACCAATACAATATAATTTTGCATCTTTTTCTAATTTTTTTCCTCACATTTCTCATTTTATTCAACATTTTTTTTTGTTAAATTGTAAAAACCCTTATAAAATATTTACAAGTGTATAATTACTCTACTGTATATATTAGAATTTAGAATAGGTTAATTGCAAACTAACTAGTTCAAGGAGGAGAAATTATCGAAGTCATTATAAAGAGTACCAACCTATAAAACACACCAAACTCATTAATTCACTGTATCTCAATTCATTTAATAAAAATATTTAAAAATAACATAAAATTATTATCTTAATTTTAAAAAGTTTAAACATGTGACTGATTTTTATAATATAATATATTTTGTAATAAATTTTTATAAATATTTTTTGTTAAAATTTAATTTTTAAAATATTAAAAAGTTAATATTTAATCTCTGATGTCAACTTTCTTATATTAAGTATTAAGTTACTTGATAAATAGTTAACTTAACATTCTCACACGATATATTATATTATTTAATTTTTTAATATTTTATTATTTAAAATTAATATTTATAAATAAATTTTTAAACATATTTAAAATATTTAAAAAAAAATCTCTTAAACTCAAATCTCCTTCCAACGCTCATTTTTCACACCAAACTCATTGTAAAATTTCATAACCATTTCTTCAAACATTTATGAAGCCCATTATTTATAAATCAGTGGAAGAATTCTAGCCAAATGAAACTAATATTACATAATTCAACAAAACTTACAAGAATTTTTATAACTTACTATTATATTTAACAAATTACATGATAATTAAAAAAATTTGATGTTTGTTGTGAAGTGGAAATAGGGTGGAGGTTTGGAAAAGGGGAAGGGTTGGGGGTTAAGGGAAACAAGAAAATAGGTGAGTTTGAAAGCTAAATTGTAAATATTTAAAATATATTTAAAAATTTATTTGTAAATATTAATTTTAAATAATAAAATATTAAAAAATTAAATAACATGGTATATCATGTGAAGTTTTGAACTAACTATTCGTTCAAGTTCAACACTTAACATAAAAAAGTTAACGACATAGACTAAATTTTAACTTCTTAACTTTCAAGACTAATTATTAACAAAAAATTTAATAAATATTTATCATAATTTTGTCAAATACTTTTAGGCGCATTTTAATAACAACAAAATTCAATATGTGTAAGAAATATGTACTATACTTTAATGACATTGAGATTGAATAAATCACTAGAATTATAAAATTTAACGCTACAAATTTATCAAAAATAATATTTAAAGCATATGCTTAGAAATTAATACATAATGAATTATATTTTTATTCATGATAAACAATTTTCATATTCATTTTTTTATCTTCTAAAATGAACATGTTGCAAGGTATCTTATAATTATGGGATTGATATTGTTTCTATTATACTATTTTTTTTTCTTTTAACTTCTTTTCATCATCTTTCTTATTATCACCTATTTCTTTCTTTCTCTCTTTCTCTCTCCTAAATCTCCTTTTTATACGATATGTTATTGAAAAATAAGCAACTAGCATTTCTCTGTTGAGAATACCATTCTGTTCCGGATTCTGCTCAATGTAGCACTTCCTAAAATTATTCACTACTCGACTTTACTAAATTAAAATGACTATCAAGCATTATAAAACTCACAAGATGACACACCAAGAAAATTGTAGATATAATATGAAAAATATTTTGCGGTGAATTATAAAATTCACTGATATATACATTATTTTCTGCAATGGATGCCTAGGTTGGTGACCAATATTCCAGCAACTACAGGGGCAACCTTTGGTACGCACACAACTTTTACCACATACACACACCAAATCTTGTAAAATGAGAGACATTAATTTTTATTCTGTTATTTAAACTATGTGAAAAGTGCTACATACTGAATTTTATAGGAGAAGAGATAGTGAGCTATGAAAGTCCACGTCCAACATCAGGGATCCAACGTATTGTTTTTGTGTTGTATCGACAATTGGGTAGACAAATCGTGCATGCTCCAAGATGGCGCCAAAATTTCGACACTAGAGATTTTGCTGAGGTTTATAATCTTGGATTACCAGTGGCTTCTGTGTATTTCAATTGCCAACGTGAAAGTGGTTGGGGTGGAAGAAGGATATAATGTGATGATGACCTTTCTTTGATATAACCAATTTAGCAAACATAACACATCAATAAGGTTGATCAAGTGACGCTACGCACTTTGTCTCAATCAATATTAGTGTGTAACACATTTGAAGCCTCTTCAATTTTTTTATGGCGATTGGAAGCCTCTCTCTCAAACTTTGTGCCCTGAAAGAGTATGATGCCGATAATATATAGATATAAATGTGATTTTAGTGTTTATAAGTGTAAAATTTTCTGTTTTTTTTTCATTTAACTTTTTCTTGTTTCTGATATCTTATTTTATAAAATTGTAACAAATTTACACTAGAGATATTAAATTTTATAAATAATCTTATATGTAAAAGCAAAAATATACAAAATTTTCAAATAATAAAATAAGAATTTAAACTTTTCCCCGACCAACATTGTGCTACTAACAATAGTTGAATCTCCTTTTTAACCAAATTAAAGGATTGAAATTAGAAAATACTTTTGTTGTTATCTAAAAAAGTACACAACCATGATTTGAGTATATCGTTTTTTCTATCTTTCGGGCAGAATTTAAACATTAAAATTAGAAAGTACTTTTGGCATAAGATTTGAAAGTATGTGCATCCTCTCAAATGAGTAATGAAAGGAAAAGTAAGCTCTAAAGCCCCTCAAATTTAATTAATATTTTTTTCAACACTAACACACATTCACATTGCTTCAACAAAGTTAACATTTATATATTATTTATTTATTTTATATTTTTGTTCAATCAAAATATAGATAAAAACAAACACTATCCTTTGGTGTTTCTCTTTTGGTCAAGTAGCCTTTGTTTATTTTGATAAACAGAAATTCAAACATTCTGCTAAGGCCCATTATCACTTACAGCCCGAAAGCATTGTGACACAGAGCAGTTTAGTGTTTGGGTCGACCCAACAAACAAAATACATTCTTGGGCCTGTGGTTAGGCTAGGCCGTGGATCAGCCTAAAACAGATAATAACAACATACTCCTATTTTGTTTTGCTTTTGCTCCACGTAATAGCATAAAAATAAAAATAAAAATTACTCCATTTTTTTTAATTTTCTTTATCGTAGGTTTCACCGGTTTTTTTTACTGATATGTTATGAGAAGTTGTCAAAGTAAATGGAATTTGTACAAGTTGTCTCATTAGATAAATAATCATATCGAATTAGATGAAGCTTGAATATCATAGACGAATGGAATGAGAATGTGAGTTCATTTAAGATACTTTTAATCTTGTTGGATTGGAATGAGAATGTTGATTGATTTGCTAATAGTTAAAATGATGCAATGTTGTGAAAATAAAAGGTTGATTGAGTTGTTTATACTCAATTACCCATAATCAATGCTTACAAAACCGTACTTTTCCCTAAATCAATAAGAGGGGATGTTGAAGCCTTCATGCTCAATTTAGGATTGAATGGAATCGGTTTTTCACTTATTGATTTATATTTTATAAATACAAGATAATAAATCACATTACTAAAAAACTATAGTTACATAAATATAAATAATTAAAAAACATTGATACTGTAAATATTATTTATATTTTTATTTAGTTTTGAGTATTATATTATTAAAAATAACTTTTATAGTAATTATTTTAAAGGTTATATCAAAATATTAATCAAATAATTAATAGTATAAAATATTTATTCTAACAATGAAAGAAGATTAATCGAACTTTAATTTATAAAAAGAGAAATGTTATTAATATACTTTTTAAATATATTTTAAATTATTGTCTAAAATTTATTAAGGACTATAAAAATATGATAGATATACATTAAATTAAATTACATAATCTTTATAATTTTTAAACAATAATTAAGAGTTTGTTAAAAATATATATTAAAAAATATATTATTAATATTTCTCTTTTAAAATTATTTATTATCATAATATCTATACTTCCACAGAACGCGTATCTAATAAACCTTTGAGTTAAGTTGATGATAGGTATCTAACTATAAATAAATCTTCATCCTTTATTTATATTCAATCTTGGATGTTAGTGTCTTTTTATCATCGAAATCATCTATTTTTATTTTCTGATTTAAAAAAAAATCTAAAGAAAGATCTGTAAGGCGTAGTTGTGCGAAGATGAAGTCCTTTTCATCTGATGATTTATATATATAAAGGAGATTTAACATATTTTGTTGAATGCCCACTTGTTAGCATGTAATCATATTTATGAACCAGAAGAATAATAAAGCCTTGCTGGCATTACATGCTTATAAGAATCTGGATTGGGAGGTGTGATTCAGAAATTGACCCAAAATACCACAGCAAACTATAAAATGGTATTTTGTGATTTAGAATCTAACAATACACAGAATGGTATTTTGGCATTACACGCTTGTAACAAATGGAGTTACGTACCAACAATTAATCTTGACCCAAAATACCACAACAAATTAACCACAAAGAACTTACAGGCGAGAAGAAGACAACAGAGAAGTCTAGATCAAGAACAGGAAATATTCTTTACTTTGGCTGCTTCTTCTTTATTATTATTTCCCTTAGATTTCAGAAAACATGAACAATAAGAAAAGAGTGATTTAATAATAATAATAATAAAGCCAAACAAGTTAACCTAAAATAAGGGTCATGAGATGAGTTGCACTTTAGTGATTGAAGTCCAAATTAACAGAAAAATCTATTAGAATAATACGCAAGAGAACGATGCCTATATGAATTTCGATATAGAAAAATCTATAAGAATCAACAAGAACAAATTGAAAGTTCTTTAAATGAATTCACTTTCTTTTTGCTCAAATTAGTCAAAATTAAACATTGCTACTTTCCACCGTCCAAATATACCGCATGTCCATTTCCATTTGCATGAGAACGATGCCTATATGAACTCCGATATATTCCTAAGATATTCATTGAATTGGGCCTTAGAGAGAATATAAATATAACTCCTCCGTTGCTCTGCCATTGTCAACACACCCCTCTTCCTTACAACTGATCATAAGCAATACATTGGAAAGTATTTAATTTGCTTTCTTAATTATTCTTCTTTCCTTCATTAATGTATTGTATTCTGACTATATCTTGCAAGTGTCAATAAAAATTATTATTATATATAAATTCTTGTTGTGTATTTGTAGTACATGTTAAAAAATTGGTTATATCAAACTTGGGTTATTGGAAGTTAAATGGTGCACTAGTGAATCATTTTTAGGGGTTTAGCCGTAAGTGTCATGAATGTGGTTATCATCTTTTTGGGCTAACGCGAGATACCATTAATGCTCAGAGAATGCTTATTGGCAGATGAAGCTATCTTCATCCCCATAACGTATCTTTTTGCAAGACCACAAAATGTGAGGATGAAACAACACATTCTGATTCCTCAGTTTCAAATGACTTGCTAGCGAGAAGGAGAAAAACCTCCAAAATGCTAAAAGGCATTGAAGGTCCCACATTTTTCAAATTCCCATCTTAACATTCCTCCACGTAGCCCCAAAAAAATTCCTCCACCTTTTTTTTTTTCATACATATTAAATATTCTGAAAAATCAAATCTCATTGAGTACTCCCCTAAGCTGAATAATGCAGCAACAGTTCAATTTTTCAAAAAACACAATTTAGTTTATAAATTTGAAACGGATTTTCTAAACCTAAGGGTTAAAAAACGATGTTTTTTAATATCGTTTTTAGTGTTTTTCTTAATTGCATAGATGAAAACGAAAGATGTTACAGAGAATTTGAATTTGTAGAAAAGTTCTATGTTCCGCGTATAAAAGCAAGGTGAGGGAACATAAGAAAATCCTCATTGACATGAACGTGACATTTCCTTATTTGGAGAGTTATTTCCAAAACTACTAATCCTTTCTCACAAGGCAAAGAGAATACCAAAACGTATTTTTCGTGCCGATAAATCCTTTTACGTGAATATTCTATAGCAGAACTTTTGGTATGCCTCGTCTTATCCTTCGGGATTTTTGGCATGTCGCTTACATTCTGATCGATAATATTAGAGCTATATATTTTACAACCATTCTTTTTCGTTAAGAAAAAGGATACAATTTTCACATTTATATAAGAAGTAATCGACAAAAATTTACATATGTATGACTTATATTTTAATTAAGATCTCTTTACTAATACGAATAATCTTCTTTGACCTTTGTGGGAGAATCCTGCAGATAATATATGCATTATTCGATATTTCTGTTAACACCGTATACTTGGACGATGAAAGGTGACGCAATTTGCTTTTGCCGTAAGGGATCGTGCGCAATCATGTATAGAAAATTGTACATACGTACATATATACATATAAATTATTGATTGTTTAGAATTTACTTCATCAATATTCTCATTAACGATTGTGTGACGTTTTTTAATGGAATAGTGCATGGTAAAAATGTCTTATAATAAAAAGATTCAGAGATCTTTATTAAAAAAAGTTTTAAAATATTTTTTACTATTGTATTTTAATACATTTTTATTTTAGTCCCCAAATATTTTGTTTAGTTTTAATGCCCATATTTTAATAAAAATAATATTCAGTCCTAAAATTTAAGCAAATCTACGTGCTTGCATTACACACTCATAAGAAGGGTTAAAACATGCATTAAACGTAATTAATCATATAATTACAAATAAACAAACCCAATCAAATTTAAATAAAATTAATCTTGATCATCCACAAGGACGTGGACCAAACCGATTAGGTTCTTTCACCTAGGCAATTATTTACATTGAACTCAAGAACCTTTATTTTTTAGTTTGGTTGCAACTTTTAAGAGAGATGCTTCTTTTCCACAGACGACCCACTCACCAAATCGTGTATAAATAGGCATAGGCATTTGCGCCATTCTAATTAAACCCAACAAAAAACACAATGGGTAAAGGTTATCAATATAATGCCTATATCAACGGACCCTCTTGTTGTTGGACGTGTAATAGGAGATGTTTTGGAGCCTTTTACAAATTCTGTTTCTATGAGGGTTGTGTATAACAATAACCCAGAAGTTATCAACTGTTGTGAGTTCAAATCCTCAGAAATTGTCAACCAACCAAGAGTTGAAGTTGGTGGAGATGACCTCAGGACGTTTTACACTCTGGTACCGTCGATTCGATTCCCAAGTTTTGGTTATATCTTTCACTGTGTCATTTTGAAAATTCTACCTCTCTATTGCTATAGTGGTTAGTTAATTACTTGCATGCATTTTGCAGATCATGGTGGATCCTGATGCACCAAGTCCAGTTGATCCACATAAGAGAGAATATTTGCACTGGTAAGAAAGTGCCCTGTCGCTTGCTTCTGCGTGTCTATTAATGTCTATGCCACGGCTGCGGCAACCCTAGTTGACCTTTTGCATGTAAACTTTTTTAAATAGAAGTATGTGATGGAGGTTTGAGTAAAATTTTAATGTTGGGTTGATTTTTGAAAAATATTATATCATCAAATTTATTATGCCTTGGGTGATGTTATTAAGTCACGTAGATATTTAACTTTTTTTACAATATTTACTTTAAAAATTGAAAAACCTATACGATTCAAGTTGCTTCGAATGAATGAGTTAGAAAGATATTAACTTGAAGGCCAATCCAAGTCAATTGAGTTTTTTATAGTTGACATGAATATCAATTCTACTTTTATCCTTCAAATTGGACAAAGGTTTTGTTCGAGTAAATTTTCAAAGAAGTTTTCTTAGAAAGAAAAAAAATTTAAAATAAAAATTAACTTATATTTTTATTTTTAAGTTAATTTCTTTAAAGTATAAGATGTATGAATTAATTTTAATTTATTTTTAATCTTTTATAAGTGTTTTATAAAAGTTCTCCCAGATTAAATCAAAATTGAGTGGGTTTATATTATATAGATGAGCATGATAACATGATAGGGTTCTTCTCCCCACCTCTGCATCCGTCTCGGTTGAAAAAACGAAATTAGTTCGTGAGAATGAAAAAATAAAACAACTTTATCTTAGTTGGGTTAAAAAATTCCCTCAAAACTGATCTTTTTGCAATGTAAACTCCATTAGTAATATCCTCATCGGCAAATGAGGTGGAATAACGAAAAAGGTTGAATCTTTAGTGAATGAAAGTTCGATAATCAGTTTTTATATATCAAATTTAAATCTTTATTATCAAAAAAGATTTTTTAAATTTATTTTCAGTAAGAATATTTTTTTAAAATATTTTCTTTCTTATGCATCGTTATGTCACTTTTTTTTATTAAATATTTATTTATTTTTATTTTATTCTTATACCTTTAAAATATTTTTTTAATTTTAAATTTTGATATATATAACAAATTGAAGTTCCTTCTTTTTTAAGTAAACTAAAATTTGTAATTGTTATAATTTTAATTTTAAAATTTAACTTTTTCATAATTTTTCTTAATTTAAAAAATGCTCTTCTTTAATTTAATCTTGTTTAATATGATAAAATATATATTATTTTAATTTATAAATTTTACTAAACTTAAAAAGTTTCATATAATATATGTATTTAAATAAATAAATAATATATATAATCATATTTTTAGTTATTAATTGAAGTTTATTGAAAATAATGAGAATCATTAAATTAAGAGACAAATTTACTTTACTTTTATGATTTTCAAGAAATTTTAATTAATAATGAATAATATATTTAAAATTATATTTACTAACATTTTTCTAAAAATAATAGACATAAATTAGTAATGATATATAGAATAAATTTGAATATTCTAAATGAACATGCACATCAATTAAGATTGATCCCCTAATATGGAGAAATCAACATTTTTTCGCAAAGCCTTGTTTTTCTTTTCTTAAGCAGCTATCTTTATAAACTTGCGTGTCTCTAAATTGGTGAAAGGTTCTTCCAAAAGGGCATTAGCCCTATATAGAGTGTCATAAAGAATGTCAAATAATTATTTGGAGTCCTTCTCCGTGAAGTTCATGTGGGTACCATACCATTGGTCATAGATAGTGCGAGAAATGGTTCTCCAATATATGCCTCTTGAAATTGTGATTTGATCACATGTATAATAATTGCATGACCTAAACCTTTAAAGTTAACCAAGTAAATAATATTAGGTAATACATAGACTACGTTAAAGATAAAAGAAATTTAGAAAATATCCTATCTTTCATCAATTGAAAGATATTCTTTTTATAATTAACATAATTTGTATTAGATGTTCAGAAAAATGTCAGAGATTTTGCTTAAGAAATTCTTAAGATAAATATATAAAATAATATAATCACAATACAAAAATTAATATAAAAAGTCCCTTTAGATAGATAATATAATGTAATCACAACACAAGTTAATATGAAAACTTAAACACAAATTCTTTTCTTAATCATTCTATCACTCCAATACATTCACATTCTCTAAAGTTACTACCTAATCTCATAATATTCTAAGACAAAAGTTTAAAGAAAAAAGTAGATTGAAATACAGTGTTTGTGGCGAGTATATATAACTTAAAACAAAAGACTTATTATTTTAAAAGCATACATAATGTATGGCTTATTTTAATTTATTCTATTCTAACTTAGAAACATGATCATAATAATCGTGACTATGTTTCATAAAAATATATATTACCAGCAATTATATATCTTCATCGGTGTCATCATCGTTAGGTTGCTTCTTAATATCTATGTGGTGAGTCTTATGATCATAGATAGCATGAGTATGATGATTGAATGTTAGAAGATGGTTTTGAAAACCCTAGGGTAAGAAACACAACAAATGGAAGCACGTAGAGGTGGATTAGGTAGGAGCTTGCAGTCAGCTTATGCATTGAACCTAACAATGCGTATAGGTCTTCATCAAGAGCAATATAACTTGGTATTGTTCGATAATTCTCGTCCTCTTACCCATATTAGTAAATCACCAGTGCCTTAACCTGATATCGTGTTGTAACACTGTATAATAATATGTTGCAAAATAATTTTTGCATATAAAATAAGTGTCTATCTATTAATTTATTTAATTTAAATAAATAATAATTGTTATATGTGAGGAGGATATGTCTATACTATTAGACAACAATAATTGTCATGAGGTCTATTGCATGGCTTTGCTCGTTTAAGATGACGCTTATCATCATTGCACCTAACAAAATTATATTTGTTATCTCATGTTAACTGAATAACTTTATAATACATATTCTTAAAAGGAAATAGCTTTTAAAGTATGCCTTAAGGGATAAAAATGATAACACTTGTGAAAAGTGCACAGAAGAAGCGAATAACAAGCTATTTTAGATTATTTAAAATTACTAACAAGCTAAAAAGTAAAGTTTTCGACCAATACTTAACACAATAGCTCAAAATATTGAAATGGGGATTGGAAATTGCAAGAAAATTACAGTTTTAAAGGAATCGAAGTCAGACCATTAGTAATAGTCTTTCTTGATGTCAATTTCAACCATAAATTTTTCATTTCAGAAAATTAGTAAGTTAATTTTCTAATTTTATCTTCTATTTTATTTTAATTTGATTTGATTTTTTATTGTATTTTAATCTCTCATTTTTATTATGATCCTTTGACTTTTAAATGCTAATGAAATACATTATATGTTAATTATATTTAACTATTTTATTTACCTTTTATTATTATTATTATTATTATTATTATTGTCTTCATCATTTTCTTCTTTTTCTTTCTATATAATTATTGCAGTCAAATATAATAATAAAAAATGATTTTTTAATTAACGTTTAAAAGTTAGAAAATTAATATTAAATATAAAAAATTTAAAGTATCAAGCTCAAGTAAAAAATAAAATTAAGAAAATGACATCAAACATATTCTCAAAAGACTAAAACATCAGTAAAGACAAACAATTTCCACGTCATCCAATAATATATTTAACGCTCATAAAAAAGAGAGAGTTAACTTTGTAGGTATTCGTTTATATAATGTAATTGAAATTATATCTTTTTAATTCTCTTTTTCAATTTCATCCTTCACTTCTAAAGTGAGCTTAATAAATAATTATTGATAAAATAATGTTAAATAAAAATAGTGAAAAGTTATCCTTATATTAATTTTCTTATCATATGTACGGGGTGCATAAGTTCAAAACATAAAAATAGAAAAAAGTTATAAAAAGAGATTCTTTACTATAATAAAATGCTAAAATTATTTAATATATGTTTTATAAGTAATAAAAACACATAGGAAAACATGTTGAATGTTCCATATTTGATATACCTGATGCATATATAAGAGAAAATAATTGCCCAGTAGTGAAGTTTATGAAAAAAAGTAAGTATAGCAATACTTATATTATTTATTTCAGAATAATTGTTAGCGTTTGATCATGAGTTTCAAATTGGTAAATCATTAGAGTAAAAACTTTTACATTGTTAAGAATTATTGTTAATATGATAATTCATAATTAAGTACGGACCATGTAAAAAATATTTACACTATCAATATGTTTTTAATCAACTTTTTATAAAATTGAAAAACATTAAAGATTATCAATTAATATTACAAAGAAAATCAAAAGATAATTATAATAAACCAATTTCAATTAATGAATTTTAAAATTTCTAAAATTCAAACCTTTTAAAACGGTAAGTATTTTCAAATGAAAATAAAAATAAAAATAAATACAAGTTATTAGCTGTAACTTCGTTATGACCCGCATTGGATACGCAGGTTGGTAACCAATATTCCCGCAACTACAGCCGCAAGCTTCGGTGCGTATATTTCGCTTTCATTTTCTATTCTCTTTCTCTCTTAAATTGTTTGGGCCACTTTTTATCTAACTACTTTATGTATTTATTTTGATAAATTATATTTAAATATATTATTCTGAAAGCAATTATAATCCATAGTCTATACTTTTTTAGAAAAAAAATACATCTGAATATTCTTTAATTCTTAATTTTAAATTCAAATATTTGAAATTATTTTTGTATACATTTTTCATATATATATATATATATATATATATTTATAATTTTCAAAGTTTCACTCAAATCATTAATGTTCAATGTGTCTTAAAGTTAACATCAATGATACTTACATGTCTTCTAATTGTCTTGCCAATGATCAACAAAAGATTTAGATATTATTAGCAACTTCTTATATATATATATATATATATATATATTATATTATTTTTAAAAAGTAAATAGTTTAATTAAACGTACTTTATATAAGTCATACAGTTGTTGAATTATTGAGTCCATCATACAGAATAATGAAAAATAAAGAAAAATATAAGCTAAAAGATTTAAGCAGAATGGATGAAGTTAAGGAATGTATTATATGTTATATTTAACAAAAAGTACTAGGCAAATTTAAAGAATAATTTTATCATATGGCTATAATAGATACAATATTTCATAAAATTGACTGTTGAACGATAAAAAAAAAGCTCATAAAAAGTTAAATTTAATATAACATAAATGAGAATGTTACATAAAATGATATATTAAATAAGATAAGACTAAAATAAAAATGTAAAATTAATCTTAGAATGTATTACAATTCATAAAACTGTTTTTGTCATGATAAAATGTGTCTTTATCTTCTTTCTATATAAATTGAAAGCTATAGGAGGAGATGGGATTTCTTCGAAATTTTTTTATACTATTAATTATCTTAATAATTGATAAATATTTGACAGTGTGCCCACCTTATGTTCTCGGATTTTTATGATAGAGTGTCATTTAACTTTAATATTAACAATATCACTCATTATTTGGTGTTATATTAATTTGTATATATTTTATAGTTTCATTTATTGATATTCTTAATAATTACATGATATTTTTAAAAAATTGGTATTAGCAGATATTAAATCAAGTAATATTAACGTATGCATGTGTATTGTACATTTCTTTGTTGTAATCAATTGATATTACTAATTAATGGTATTAAATAGGAGAAGAGATTGTGAGGTATGAGAGTCCACGACCAACAGCAGGAATACATCGTATTGTTTTTCTTATAATTGAATAAAAGAAAAATTTTCAGGCAGAAAAAAAACTACAATAATATTTTTAATCTTACAAAATGCAAACTAAGGCCCACAAGCATCCTGCAAAAGCCCGAAAATGTGGAGCACTACAGATTTTGAAAGCAAGGAGATGGCCGAACAATAAATCTAAGAGAAAATTTTGACCCAGAATAAAGAGAGAGAAACTAGAGTTATCTGTATGGGTCGCTTGGTGAAGATTGATCATTTCATATACAGACTTGGACCAAGTAAAATTTTAATCAATGTAATATGATGCCTATGTTGGTTAATCCATGAAAACTGCAAGTTAAATGAGATTCGTCCATTGATTACAAAAAGGTAATGTTTTATAAAAATATTTAACTATTTTAAGTTTAAAACCAAAAAAGATTTTGAGATGCAGAGCTATTTGAGCTACCCCACAAATCAATTATTTACAGAAGTTCATTGTGAGCATTAAGTTTGAAATTTAATTCAGTATGGCAATAGGAAATATGTGTTAATGAAAAATGAGTATCTAGTTATTGTGCCCTCCCTTTGTGAATGAGAATATGTTCATTTTAATAAGAACATAACATCAAGGGAAAACATTCTAGTATTCATGTTTCAAACACCTCGAACATATATTACGGGAATTGCTTGTACCACATCATTCTTTTGGTGTGTTCAAGGAGAAAATAATATAAAGTGTAGAAGGTGCATGTGACCATGCAAGTGTAGGGAGGTAAATTAATGCTGCATAATAATATTCAAAATTGATTTTTCGTTGTAACGAATGCAAAGAAATAATGTAGCTTTGGAGTAGAACACAAGAAGATGTTGGCTGTGAGGAGAGACGCAGCCAATGTATATGGTGCATGGGGAGAAAGAGGGAAAGAGATAGGAAGTTTTGTATATTAACAAATGGGACATTTAAAGGTGTTTATTTTGTAATAGCACAAGGTATCTTAATAATAATAATTTAAATAATGAAAATCTTAATAATAATAATAATATAAAAAAAAAACATAGCTGCCTTGTGGAAATAACAATAAAGAAAGAGTAGAGACAAGAATGCAAGGGCTTGGCGTTGCTTTCGGCCCTTCTACTTTTATTTTTTAGATTATATTGATGGATCTTTGGATTCTTGGGATTTCTCTCTATCGCTTTTTTGGGTGGAGAATAATGATTTTGCGTTTAATTATGGTAAAAGAATTATGGACTTCTTTTTGTCATATATTAGAATTATTATTGTTATTAACCAACAATCTTAAATAAGGAAAAAACAAAAAACCGAACAGTTTGGTGTTCGGATGTTTTAAAGATGATTCTCTCACTTTCTATCTTTATCCCTACAAAGTATCTTTGCAAGACCACAAAATGTGAGGATGAAACACCAAATTCTGATTCCTGAAATTTCATACATAAATCACTCGCGAATCGCGATAGGGGAACAATTAGTATAAGACTCAGAAAGGTCCCACATTTTCAAATTCCTCTCTGCCTCACCACAAGACCCTTCTATATATATATATATATATATATATATATATATATATATATATGCATAATATAATTTCTAACCTAGTTGAAGGCTCCACCACCTTGCTCAAGCCCAACTTGTGAGTATTGAAAATTATTTTGTTCCCTTGTAGCTATTCGGTGATAGATCTTCACTCTCAAAAGATTACTTAACTGAAAATTACATCCAAGTTATTGTAATTTTATATTTAGAAATAGAATTTTGACTAAATTAGAGTCTTTGATAACAAACCTTAAACATAAAAGAAGTGGGACCCACATTAAATTATCAATTAGCAACTCAAGTGTGTCATTTGATAGTAATTGGTGTTGATATAGTAACTCTAACTTGTTCCCTTTTTGCGGATCTTGCATGTTTTAGTTTGATGATAAGTTGTCGGAAATTTTTTAGAGATAAATAATAAATATAAAAATGTGTAATATGTTTGTGAATTTTACTTGAAAATGTTTCAAAGTTAATAAATTAGAGTAAAAATTTTATTGCATTTCTTAAAATAATAAAAATTATGTGACATTATTAGAAAGAGTTTATAATTATATATTACTATTAAATTTGTTTATAACAAACAATTTGTTCTTTGAAAGCAAAAATATCTATGTACTAACACCTCATCTCCAATTTGACATTCAAAGAGCCAAACACCTAAATGTAGAATGTAACATTTATCCAAAATAATGCCTTAAAACTCACAGAGATTCACAACCAATCCCAAAAAATACAAGTCAACAATTCCCATAACAAATGAATTATAAGACCAAGGACCTTGTCAATCTATTCTTGTGTTAATATGTTGGTATACAACACAAATAATAAAGACCAAGGGTCTTCAAGCAGAGACATTAATTGCACGATTTATATGAATCACTAAAGCCAATCGCCTCAACTTTCTATTCACTTTGTCATGCTTTTCTAACCCCAACCATCACATCAGAAGCATCACTGCAAGTGGTCTAAGCTTCATAGTGTAACCAATCTTGTGTAGTCGCTGCCAATTTCTTTGATAGTTGTGCAGGTGAATACAACAACCCTGACGATGATCGGGGGCTATTGGTGGACTGCGAACATGATTGAAAAAGTAGAAATAAAAGATTGCGGGTGATGTTTGGATGGACGAAAAAGAGATTCAACTCTATTGTGTTTCGAGTAATGATTTTTAAGGATGGAATTTCAAAACATTAAACACCTAGTTTGTAAAATTTTGAAACTATATAAAAAAATAACAACTCTACAAACCTATTGTTTTTAGTTGTAAACCTTAGGCTCCTTGATGAACAAAAACTTGTTAGGACAAGTGAAGAAGTCTCCTTCTAACATATGTCATTATTATTGTAATTTCTTCATTTAGTATCAAAGTATCAATACAAACATATTTAAAAATAAAAATGTTAAAAAAGTGAGAGAGAAAAAGTCCAAGTTATAAGAATAAATAGTATTACATCCTTGAAGGAAGAACATGATCATATAAAGAGGCGTAATTAAGAATACAAAAATAAAATAAAATTGAGGTTGAAGTCATATTTTGTTTCTCTCATTTTATAGCATAAAAGGAGTGGGGTAGGATATGAAAATAGGTCATGTTAAAATATAATTTCTAACGTATAAAATTATCAATATATAGCAAGGTTTCATATTTATAGATAAGTTACCATCTCATTTCTTAAATGTATTTCACTCTATCAGCCAAGCTTTTTCTTCTACAATTGTTTTTGAAAATGTTTTTTTTTATTCACATTCTTTATGTCACATATATTTTAAGAAAAAAAAAGAGACAAGAATAAAAATGAGAAAAAAATTAAAAATAACAGGATTGTGATTAAGAAAAGAAAGAAAGAGATTTAGAAAGATGTAGAGTAGGTCTAAAAATTATAAATGAAAAAAATCATGGTTAATTTTCCAAATAAACTTCCAATTTCGCACATTAATAGTTGAAGTTAACTCACCTTCCAGTCTAATCAATTAAGTTCTAATTTTTTTTTTTTTCAAATTATACCGAATTGCCACCATTCAGCAGTAATATGAATTTTAATTTAACCTCAAATGCATTAATAAATTTTCAGGTTTTTTTTATGAGACATCTATTACTAAATAATAAGAATTAATAAAATAGTTAAAATTTATTTTTTTAAAATATTATTAAATTGAATCTCACTGTCAACATTTATTTTTGATAATTTAAATTTAAATTTTTACTAACTTTATTTATTAATTTTAAATAATAATAATAATAATAATAATAATAATAATAAATAATCCATAAAATTTATAAAAATGTTTCATAATAATTAGCACCAAATTTTTGTAGATGGTACTTTTTGAAAAAAATTAAAGGGATGAACTGACCTATGTCTTATGGGTGCCCCATGCTGGCTTTTGCCTAGGCATGCATGTCTTCAACATAGAAGTGGCATGGACAAAACTAGGATTGCTTTGATCGAAAAAGAATATATCAAGTTATCTAAAGGAAAAAGAATATATTTTTTAAAAAGTCATAAGAAGCCAAATTTAATTGTTGTATGAACCAAAAAACTTAGATCATATGATGAATCAATTCGAGTGATCAAATTCTAACCTTCTATGGTGCCACAGATGCAGGAATCCTAACCTTTATAGCGCATCTGTGTATACTTTATTCTTTATTCTACGTTGATTATCACATTTTTTTTTGGTCTCGTACATGTTGCCAATGTTAGAAGGGAAAAATAATAAAATCAAGGAAGAAGATTGGTAGAAACGTAGTTTTTGTTCTTCGCTTTTCATAAATTGCTATGATTTGGTTGTACTAATAGAGGGAACAATCAAGAAAACGACTTGGTTGAGATAGAGACACCCACCACATCTTGAACCAGAATGCATCAGATGCAGTAACAATGAAGAGCTTAGGTTGCGATCCAAACAACAGTTATATGTGACGGATTTTGATGGTCCAAATCCTTCCTTAACATTCACCGTGGTAGCCACACCTAATGACCACAAAGTCAATTACAATATAAGAACAATCACACTGGTTAATTGGACATATATATTTGTCAAATTCTCTCATTAACCTTGGTATCTCTTAACAAATGTACAATATTATTATATATCATGCATCGAGTATTCCTTAAAAGAGGACTTGTAATAATAGTGTGAAATGTAACAAATGACATACCAACGTGAACTTCATATCCATATATAAACCACATACTTGATTTCTTTGAATTTGAAACCTGATACATCAAACTATATTTTGTAGTTTCTATTTCCTATCCGTTACATTTGTATCCATATTAAAAATATATATTGCTAATTTTGAAAACTATCAAAAGCAGTATCGATAATTAAAGGTTATTTAACCACTTAAATGAACTTAATAATGTAAATTTTTTTCAGAATTTAACACGCTCTTCTATAGATGAACTCCAAAAATAGAGCAAGAAAGAATATAATTGGTTAACTCCGTCTCAAAGAGAAATGACGAAAAGAAGTGGGAAAAAAAAAGAGAAAAAGAAAACAAGAGGAAAGATGGGATGATAAATAATGCTTAAGAAAAAAAAAAGATATAGTTTAACTAAGTAAATAAGTAAAATAAGAGGACATAATCAAAGTATCATCAAATTAAAAATGATTGTAAAATTTAGGAGAGGACCAAGTCAAAATATCTTATCTCAAAATAAAAGTTTATATAAATAAGAACATTTTTTTTATTTAATTGAAATAAAATTACTTTTATCAAGCAAGTAACGAGTTTGTTCCCTTTAAAACTTTTAAAATACAGAGTACCTAACATACCAAGGTAACTTAAGTGTGTCATTCGACCACATCTACAATTTAAATATCTTCAAGCATATGGCATCAATAAAGAAGTTTGCAGATAACATCAGTGCAACTTTCTGGGAGATCTATTTCCACACAAGGCAGGGTTCTATCTTTTAATTATCTCACTTTCACAGATATAGAAATAAAACTAAGAAGAAGATCAGAATCTAGTGATGGCGAAATATCTTAAACTCACATATACCATAGAGCATGTATAAATAGGCATAGCCGCATATACAGGAATTACCCTCACTACACGAAATAAAAAATAATCAAGGTGAATAGTTTATATATCTTAGAACAGTTTATCAATATCATGCCTAGATCAACGGATCCTCTTGTTATTGGACATATAATAGGAGATATTGTTGACCCCTTTGCGAGTTCTGTGCCTCTAAGGGTTGTGTATAACAATAACAATGAAGTTATAAACTGTTGTGAGCTCAGGCCCTCTCAAATCGTCAATCAACCAAGAGTTGAAGTTGGTGGAAATGACCTAAGGAACTTGTACACTCTGGTATACCTTCAACTCTCCATAAGTATTGAGTTATATTATATCATTCACTTTGGTTTTTCGAATTTTTTACGTCTCTGTCTATCTAGCTAGCATGCTTTATGATCGTTATGGTTACTTTTGTTGCATGTGCTTTATATAATTTGCAGGTCATGGTGGATCCTGATGCACCTAGCCCAGGTAATCCTAATGAGAGGGAATATTTGCACTGGTGAGTGTCCTAATCGCTGGCTTATTGTTACAATTTATTAGCATACTCACGGATTTCCCAGTTATTTCTAATCTAGCATATGCACGTTGGACATATTCATTGTTCAAAACTAATTACTATGCCATTTTTTATTATTTTTTTATAGAGCATGTATGTATTAACAGCTTTCAAGTTTAGTCACTCTTACGAATCAAAATTTTAAAAAACTTTAGTAACTTTTAACTCAAATCAGTGAAGATAGAGTCCAGCTCAATTTACGTAACTTTTATAATTTTTTTTTTGTCTTTTCTACTTCTTTATTTATCTGCATTAATGAAGTTAATTTTTTTCACAAATATAAATACTTTGTTTCTCTTTATTTTCTTTCTATTTTTTTTTTCATAATAATCACTTATTTAAGTGACACTTAAAGAGTAATTATATAACCGTGCATGCATTGCTTATTAGTAGAATATTTTGGCTCTTATTATTCTGTAACATCTCTTTTATTGCAGTAAATGTTAGCAATACATTCTTTATTATTAATTAAAATTTATTAAAAATTATAAAAATTATGTATGTCTAATTCTTAAATTATTTTTTTTAAATTTTTTAAATTTTTAATAAATTTTAATTGATAATAAAAAGTGTGTGGCTAACATCTCTTTTCTTCTGATCAAATATCAAAATTTGGGCAAACTGCCCAAATTTCAAATAGACTTAATCATACCTAGCATCCTCTTCTTCAATGCAAGAAAATATCTATCATATATTCCAATGACTTTATGTTGCATTTCTTTTATGGATATGGATTTAGTCTCGTAATTGCACTGTCTTATCACGTTATTTTGTATTTTTATTTAAATAATTTTTTTTATTTAAATAAAAGTACATAATTTTGCTTGACTGGATCGTGCAGTTCCACAAAAAACGAGACTGAATCCTGATCCTTCTTTCATACATCACTGCAAAGTTTTTGTGCCATGGACATATCATAAGCTCATAACTCACCTTCTTAAGATATAAGTCATTGAAATTATTCACGGACGCATATATTAGCCTTAATATTTGGTCTTTTAGTTTCAAGGAATAATGAGGTCTATGGACTTCATTTCTATAAAATGAGGACACATTTTGTTTTCGACCATCATTTCCCTACAAATTTGTACTTCCTCTCATAATGGTGTCAATGTTCATGCGTGATTGCATCTAAATATTCTGAACTTTAATTTTTTGTCAACACCTTTTTGTCGTCCAAATATTCTGAACTTTTTCGCACCTTCTTTTTGGCAAACATATACTTTATTATATGCTTTTTAAAATATGCAGTTATATATTTTTACTTTATTTCTAATTAACTCCAAATCATTCATGTAATTAAATTATAATAGAACACTATTATTTAATGATAAATTATCATATCATTGAAATAGCAGATTTTTGTAATTATTAAAAGTCATATTTAAATTTTTAATTAATTAATAGTATAAAAATAATTACAGTAAGAATATATATAAATTAAACTCTTTTTTAATCACTTTCATTTCACACTTCACATGCAAAAGTAGACTTCATGGTATATATAATAACATTAACACAAGAGGAGATTAGTTATTTTAAGAGTAACTTTAACGAGAATGATTTTATTTTATATTTTTAAAAAATATTAATTTTTTCAATTTAAATTTTAATTAAAATTATATATTTTTGTTTATTATGGATATTAAATTTTAGATAAATTAAATGTTTATAAATATATACATTTATAATTAATATTTATTTATATTTTAAATATATATTGAATATTAAAGTAAAGTTGTCAAATAAATTATTAATTAATTATTACTTATATGATTTTTGTAGGCTTAATTTATTTTAAAAAACTTTTATTTTAACTATTAGATTGATAAAATTTAATATTTACAAAATATTATAAAATAAATAAACTCTTATCGACCGACGCTATACGTTTTAAAACTTAACTCACCATATGCATGTGATCACTGATTAAGTGTAGGGTGAATTTTCAAAACATATTATCTAAATATTATTAAAATAAAAGCAAATTAGTTACTTTTTCATAAACTTTTTTTTTCATTGTGTATAATGTGAGGGATTGAAAAAATATATGATTTCACGCTTCTCTCCTCTTAATTTATCTTAAATTTAAACATATAACATTTAGTAAACTTGTAGCAAAGTCTTTATATAAAAATTTGTAAAGTATAATTTAAAAACAACTTATCTTTTTAAATTTTAAAAAAAATTAAAGGAGAGAACTTGTCAAAAATTTTCCAAAAAAAAAAAAAGTATAAATTATTTTTAACTTATTAAAAAATTTATTATTTTTATACTAATATTTTTTTATAAAAATTTCTCAGAAATTTACCCAAAGATGACATAAAACTGTTATATGAAACAATTTTTGGCTTCAGCATAATTTATTAACAGATTACTTTCATCTTTTCTTGTTGATGGATAGGTTGGTAACCAATATTCCAGCAACTACAGGAGCAACCTTCGGTGAGTACACAACCTTTAGTTTCTACATATCTCCCTAAAATGGATTACTTACATTTTATTATTAATTTTCTTAAAATTATATTACAAATTTCTTAAACATTTTAACAGAATATAAAGTAATTTTAGATTATTTAGTAAGTAATTTGAGGTTACATTTTATAAAAAATATTAACAGAGCAACCAATTTAAACTTTATTACTACGATCCTATGATAGAAAAAAATTAATCCGATTGTAAGTATAAAATATTAATTTAATTAGTGAATATTCATGTGTGTATGCGTAATCAATCATCCATCATCGTCATCATCATTATAATATTACAGTAGAGAAACAGTAAATATTTTGATAAGTAAGTTAGTATAAAATATTGTGTAGAAGCGATATTTGACAATGGAGATGAGTTTTTATTTTTGGGAACATGAATGATTAACAGGAGAAGAGATTGTCCCCTATGAAAATCCACGACCAAGAGCAGGGATCCATCGCATTGTTTTTGTGCTTTTTCGTCAGTTTAGTAGACAAGCTGTGCATGCTCCAGGGTGGCGCCAAAACTTCAACACTAGAGATTTTGCTGAGATTTATAATCTTGGATTCCCTGTTGCAGCAATCTATTTCAACTGCAAACGAGGAAACGACACTGATGGAAATGCAAGGAGGAGATAATATGAAGACCTTCTAGATATTGGTAATATAATTTAAGTATAGAGCCAAGCACGTAGGTACCATATTATATATATTCTTAATAAATGTGACCATATGCCACTCAACCCTAGCTATTTCAATTATCTAAACCTCTTTATATCTTCTAGTTGGCTTCATTTTCTTCCCTGCAAGCCTACTTAAATTTAACTGTGGCAATGCTGGATTAATTTTATGGTGTGACTATATCAAGAAGAGTTTAAAGTTGTTTAATGGTGTGAAATTTTTTTCTAGATTGATATATACTTCATACGCAGTGCTCGAGTGTATAAACTTTTCACTTTTCCCTTTTCATTTTTATCTTTTACTATCTTACTATAATTCCTCTTTTACTATGTCTTAGAAAAAAAAAAAAAAATCTTTCACCCCCTTCTTATGCTCATAAATCTTCAGGAGTTACGTATTTTAATTGAAAAATTAAATTTATTTTTACTTATAAAATGTTACTTTATTTTATCTTTTATTTTCAAATATTTTATATAAGAAACAGTAAAAAAAGCTCGTTATTATTTTTACTATTTTCCATATAAGTATTTAAAAATAAAATAACAACAATGTGATATTTTTTAATTAAAAAAACACTAATTTTTTTAATGAAAAATACTCTTTTAACCGTCCCTCTCACTCTCACTCTCATCAAATACCGTTTCTTTTATATATAAAACCACCAAAACTATGATATAAATCTATTTATATTATCTTATTTTACATAATCAAAACATATTAAAAAATATCATCTTAATTTTAAGATAATAAATTATTTGAAACAATGAGAAGCGATTTTAAAAACACAGTTTTCAAATTGTAAGTAATGAACAAGTAACTGAATATACCTTTTTACACCATTTCACATTTATCAAGTTACGTTTTAGCTTTCATATCCACTAATTTTATTAAACACATCCTTTGACTTCAATTTGTTTTCTAACCAATTTTTTTTTCAAAGAAATGTTAAAGATTAATATCAATATTTGAAATTTTCATCTATTATTTGATCAACTCATGTTAGAATAAACAATAGTTGTAATTAAATACAAAAGTTAGAAAAAAATAACAAAAAAATTGGTTAAGAAGATAACCGTTAATATTTACTAAACTAACTGGATGAAATATTAACAAAATAGACAGTGTTAGTCCTAATACCCTTTCACCCAACCTAACTTGGAGATAGCAACATGAAATGGTTTAGGAGATAAAGCTTTTGTAAAAACATCAGCTAACTGATTTGCAAAGAGAACATGTATCAAATGTAGAAAACCCTCTTGAATTTTGATGCGAATTAGGTGACAATCCACTTCAATGTACTTTGTCCTTTCATGAAATGTCAAATTTTTTACAATTTGTATAGCTGACTAACTATCAGAAAAGGTTGTAAATGGAGTTGGAACTGTGATATACATACTATCACATAAATATTTAAGCCACTGCAGCTCATATGTAAGAGAAGCTAATGCTCTATATTCAGCTTCAGAAGATGATCTGGAAATAGTAGATTGTTTCTTGGACTTCCATGAAATTAAAGAATTGCCTAAAAAATACAATAACCAGTAACAGATCTTCAAGTAGTAGCATATGTGGCCCAATCAGAGTCAAAGAAAGCTTGAATTTTCAATGGATTAGAAGAGGGATATAACAAACCAAGACCAAGAGCACCTGTAAGATACCTAACAATTCTTATAGCAACCTGCATATGAGGTTCTCTGGGCTTAGAAACAAATCAGCTCAACTGTTGGACAGAAAAACTTATATTTGGCCGAGTATTTGTCAAATATAGAAACCTACCAATCAATCTTCTAAAAATAGTAGGATCATGTAACAAATCACTATGATCAGCATGTAACTTCATGGCTGGGTCTGCAGGAGATGGAGCATGTTTACATACAAAGAGACCTGTTTCATCAATTAATTCTAAACAGTACTTTCTTTGAGTTAAAACAATCCCTTTCTTAGATCTAGCAACTTCAAGATCGAGGAAGAACTTTAAGAGACCAAGATCTTTGATACAAATAATGAATAATCTACAAAACTCTACTTGTATCCCATTAAGGTAAGTTCTAAGGTTAGTTTTGATTCCAATTTCAACTACTCGGTATAAGGCTATAGAGGAATTTTTCTAGTTTACAAACTAGTTTGGACGAAGGTAGGCTTAAACCTTGAGGAGGTCTCATGTACACTTCTTCGTCTAAGTCCTTATGTAGAAATGCATTATCTACATCTAATTGATGTATGAACCAATTATAGGATGAAACAAGAGCAAGTAAAAACCTTACTGAAGTAATCTTAGTAACAAGTGAGAAAGTTTCAAAATAGTCGATTTCCTCAATTTGTGTAAAATCTTTGGCTACTAACTTAGCCTTATATCTTTCCACAGTACCATTCGCTTTATGCTTAATTCTGTAAACCTACTTACATCCAATTAACTTCTTTCCTGGAGGAAGAGTTACCAAAGACCAAGTTCTATTTCTTTCTAATGCATCAAGTTCAACAATCATAGCTTGGTTCCAACAGTCCTTTGTGCTAGCTTCTTGGAAACTTGTAGGCTTAATATGTGTAGATATGGAATTACAAAAGAAGGTATAATGAGTAGAGCATTCGGCATATGACATATATAAATGCATAGGATAAATAGAATTGGAATCAGAAGAATCAATATTATAACCGTGGTATTGGTCTAAGTATCCGGGTCTAGATTTAGGCCTCAAAGAAACACGAGTAGTAATAGGTAGAATTTGTCCAGTTTCTGTTGAAATAGATTGAGACACCTTAGTAGGAGGATCTTGAGGATGATTTTCTAAATTGCTATGATCATTTTTAGTAGAGTTGTGACCATTAGATGAATGACCATTATAAGATGAAAAAAAAATCTTATGAGTTAAAAGTATCATCATTACTGATAGGTACAACATTAGAATTAGGTTGATCATCAGAAACATTGATGTATGGAAAAATTGTTTGATGGAAAACAATATGTCTAGACACTGAGATAAACTTTGAGTGCAAATTAAAAAGAACAAATCCTTTAGTACCAGTTTTAAAACCAAGAAAGATACATTTATTTGCTCTAGGTTCTAATTTGTTTCTTCCCCCAGATAAAGTAGAGGCATAAGCTAGATAACCAAATACTTTTAAATCATGCAAATTTGGCTTTTGATTGAAGATCATTTCAAATGGAGATTTATTGTTAAGGAAAGGAGTTGGTAATCTATTTATAATATGCACAACATGTTTTATGGCAAATGACCAAAATGACTTAGGGTTTTGGACTGAAAAAGAAGTAATCTACAGACATTCAATATATGTTGGTGTTCCCTTTCAACGATTCTATTTTGTTGAGGTGTTTCAATACAACTTGTTTCATGAAGAATTTCTCTAGCATTAATAATATCTTTAAGAATAAACTCTTTGTCATTGACGGACCTAAGCTTCTTTAATTTGCATGAAAACTGATTTTCAATAAGAATAATAAAATATTGTAAAATACTTCTAATCTCAGTTTTATTTTTCATAAGATGAATCCATATGAAACAACTAAAATCATCTACTATAGCTAAAAAGTATTTATAACCTTTAATAGATTAAACATTCAAGAAACCCTAGATATCAATGTGAATAAGCTCAAAAAAAATGTTGAGATTTAGTCACACTTATAGAAAAAGATAATTTCGTTTTCTTAGCAAAAGAACAAGTGTCACAAGCATCAACTTTGTGACAAGGAATATCAGTATAATGAGAAGAGATGATTTGAAGAAAATTTTGTGTACCATATAGAGTCACTATTAGTAATGTATTTATTATCAGAATTGTTCGAAGCAGAATTACAATCTATTATTTCAATAGAAGAAGTGGACAATTCATTATGTTCCAAGAGTTGAAATAATCTGTAATTCTTCTTAGCTACTCCAATCATCTTGAAGGTAGGTATCTGCACAACAACACAAATGTTTTGACAAAATACCACAATGCAATCATTGTTAGCAACAAGTTTTGGAATTGAAATCAAATGCGCGTTGAAATCAGGTACATATAAAACATTGTGAAGAACCAAGTTATTAAGATGAATAATACCTGTAAAGTTAGCAACAACTAATTAATTATTAGGTAGTCTAATGGATATAGGTTTAATATGTGTAAGGGTATTAAAACAAGCTTTAGAAGGACAAATATGGTCTGTGGCACCACTATCCAATATCCATCTAGGTTGAAAAAAAGCAATACCTAGAAGATTATCAGTACTTTGATAAACATTATTCATAGATGAATTATTGGTTGGGAGTTGTTGAAGAAAAGCTAAAAAAAACCCGATATTGATCCTTCATTATGCTAAAAATGAGATAAGAGAGCAGTTCTATTTTAAATTAGAGAGCATTTAAAACTACTCTAAAATCTCGTGTTATCTAATGTGTTACATTTAAGAGAGCGGTTAAACAACCGTTCTCAAATATTAAGACTAGAGAGCGGTTCTATGTGAAACCGCTCTCTAAAGTATGAATGTAAATTGCAAATTTGAAATTCTTTGCAAGTTTTCTATAACAAACTAAAATTAAGTTATTGTTACGTTTAAATTTTAATTTATAGGTCTGACATTCAAAATTTTTTCATTTTTATCACAAATCAAAATTAAATTTTGACTTTATACACTGTTAATCAAACAACCCACATCTGCACAAACCAAATATAAGTAAGTCAGAGAAAAAGAAAATAAATTAGTAAGATAATTCATTATTAATAGAGAGAAATTGAAAGAAAGAGAGAATAAATGATTTACTGTTAGTAAAGAGAAAAAGAAAGAGAGAGAGAATGAAGAGAACTGTGAAAAATATACATACAAATATGAACAAAAACCAATTTGTTAGAGCTAAGAAGATAAAAAAAAGAGAAGACAAAAAGAACCTACAAATGTGAAAGAGACCAAAAACAACAACTTTGTTAACGTATAAAAAATGAAAAGAACTGACAGAGATAAAAGAGAT